TAAAGAGGCAATTGCAGTTAGAGTGCAAAGGAGTGTAGACACTGTGGTTAGGTGTTGTCAGGCATGTCTTCGAGAAGGCCGTACGCAAAGAGCAAGGGGCACTGGATGCCGCCGTAGAACAACAGACCATGAGGATCGCCGCCTAAGATTATTGGCATTAAGGGACCGTTTCTCCACTACCAGGTCCATTGCAAATGAATGGTTTGCAGAACACGGAAAACCTATTGGCATGCGAAGTGTTTACCGACGAATGAGAAGTTTTGGCTTGTTTTCATACCGGCCACACTGGGTCCTCCCTTTAACTCGAGAACACCGACGTAATCGCCTTGAGTGGTGCAGACAACGGTCACTCTGGGATCGGGAATGGAACAGTATTGTCTTTAGTGACGAGTCTCGGTGTTGCTTAGGCATGCACGATGGTCGTGCCAGGGTTAGAAGGCGACGTGGTGAAAGGAGGAATCCACAGTTTTTTGTTGAAAGACATGTTCATCACACTGTTGGAGTTATGGTTTGGGGTGCTATAGCTTATGGTTCCAGGTCACCTTTAATCTTCATCAGAGGTAACATGAACGCGCAGCGTTATAAACACGAAGTTCTAGAACCCAATCTTTTACCCTATCTTGACACCCTGGCAGATCCAACTTTCCAACAAGATAATGCCCGACCACATGTTGCAGGAGTCACAATAGACTTCTTTCAACATAATGATGTCACATTGTTACCATGGCCACCAAGATCTCCCGACTTATCCCCAATTGAGCACGTGTGGGATATGATGGATAGGAGATTGCTCAATTTGCAACGTCCTCCTCAGACTCTAGAAGCACTTCGAGACGAGTTGGTGGTTGCCTGGAATGAGATACCACAGGAGGACATTGACCACCTGATCAGAAGCATGCCTAGGCGCGTTGGAGAATGCGTAGCACATCAGGGTGCATCCACACATTATTAAAGGTCAAAGGGCTTTAAAGCAGTGCAATCATTTTGAAATTTTTATCATTTACTTATTATGCTTCATTAAGTACTTATACAAAATTTTATTAAAATAACTTAGTATATTTATCATATAGAGCATATGAACAATTCTGACTCATATGGTGATTTTGTAAGGTGAAAGATACACAACATTATGATACTATAAGAAGGTTTTTGGTCGGACGGACGAAAGCGGAGCATATTTATTTTATTTTGCTCAATGGCAACTAGACCACATCTCCTACACAGCTAGAATCGTTGCCATCTAGCGGTCGCATGGTGACTGGGCCGATTTAATTATTCACAGTGGCCGATTCTAGCGGTAGATGACGCTTCGCGATGTCTTATTTCTCAACGAAAAATTCCTTTCATCAAACATCACCTACTGCGAAAGCATTGGGGAACTTTGCTTTATCTCGGTTTTCCAAAATTGCCTATGATGTGTGCGTTCGGATCAGATCCTTGGCTAAAAGTAAATAGTTTGTTGAAAGTTATATAGCCAATATTGCTGTTATTTGATTATCACTATGTTGATCCAATATAAAGATTTAGTAGTGATGTAATTAGTCTGCTATTTTAGAGAGCGCTGAGGTTTCTTAATAGGGTGGCGCTAAATAGAGAAAACGTATGGATATTACTTGTATCAGAATATAAAGAAGCTTCTTAGGAACTTTTGAATTCAATATGAAAGTAGATAAGACACAAGGTGGACGTGTCAGTTGGCTCTTTCCAGCATCCATCATAAATGTTGACTTGTCTCCAATTTTTTACAATTTTTAATAACTCCTGTTATTCAAATTAAACTGCTGAACAAACATCTACATCATTCTCAAGTATTGTTTGGAGCACTAGAATCGTGAAGACCCCACGGACCTTTATACGTTTTCATAGAAAAGCATAATTTAATCCGATGTATCAACAATTGGTTTTCTTTGGACTACACAGACTGTTCATCGGGTTGTCCTAGTTTGGGTACATTTCAAAGATTTGCTGAACAAGCTGACAGATTGGCACATGTGTTCTGGCAAAGGTGCTAAGAACATGCTCCCTCACCAGTCTATCTCCCATAACCATATTGCAAGACCGAAACACAGCTGAACCGCTACATTATAGCCTAATAGTTTCCACAACTGCATCGCGAGTCGCGCGACTCTGCGCCGCTTCATCGTCGTTTTGTCTTTATTACGGCCGCATAAATCCGGAACGGCATGCCGCACGTCTCGACGGCCGCCGCACGCCGCGACTTGCTAGCTGCAAGAAATTTGTACAACGTCGATGCCAATTTTCCTTGCTGCAAAACCACTTTCCAAACAATTTTCATAAAAAGGAAAATAACATATTCAAACCTCATTCGCTCCGCGTCAGAACCAGCATGAGCATTATACCGTCGCTACTATTCGCCTGTTGCTGCCTGTTCAAGCATTGATGCCCTGTCGGCCAATAGAAGCGTGCGAATTTGAATAGGGCGCACTGGTTTTTGATTTGACGGCGCGCAATAGAGATTTGAACACACTGCAGATCCGCTGGAAATCGAACGCACAGCTGTAATAAACTACAGCGATTCATTTCGTACCAATCTAAAGACACTTGGTGGCTCTGTCATGTAGTGAAGCTTTATAAACGTATACTATTTAAATTGCCTTATTCCACGAAACCTCCTATGTTCAATGTATACACAGGTTTTTACGCAAGAGATCGTCTCACTAGAAAATCGTTCAGTGCTACCATTAGATGGTTTACCTTCTAAGAATTTTATTTGCCATGGAAGGTTCTTCCAGGAAAACCACATTTTGTGCTTACACCACATAACGGTATTAGTAATTTTGAAATCATTGTATGCGTAAGATAGGTCTTATTCATCTCATTATTTCCCTTTCACATCCTTAAGCTTGAAATACCCCGAGATTAATTCATTGGCGTACAATGTCACGCCATCATGGCCGAATAGATTAGAGGACTACCGCACAGTAGTAAGATTCCTGCCCAGAAGTCACTCTTCCGAAAACCTGCCTGCATTAACAAAATTTATGTAGTCAAGCCAACACTCCAAACCTTCAAGATCTGAATGTTTTAGGTCTTTCTTGGATGTTCGGCAAACCGCTAAGCCTAGCGCAGCGGAGAAACTTGATTTCAGAGCAAAAGTTACATGTATGTTAAGATCTTGCCTCTTATGATACTTTACAAAATTGCTGGAGCTTCACTGGAAGCGCGAAACTCCTTACATAAATTTACATTCTTATCATGCAAATACATACTCAATGAAATTAGTAGTTTTACACCCAGAAAAAATAATATTTTCAACTTGATTTTTTGGAAATGAGGTAGTCTTACATCGAGAGTGAAACGATAACATTCTCACGAAATTTTATTGACAAGTAATAAGAAAAAAAATTAATGTTGGGTGACGCCGCAGATGCATACACTCCTGTATACGTCTAGGCATCGACAAAATGAGATGATCGATGTCTGGTTGTAGTACCTCATTCCAAGTAACTCGAACTTGGTGGATTCGCTGTGGCAGAGTCCGTGGCGGATGGTGTAAAGTGGATAGTCTTCTCCCCACCATATCCCACACCTAAACAGTATCGCAATTCATCGCAGAAGAGGACATTATGTCTATGGTACCTATGCTTGTGAATAATCCTTTGGACAGAAGTTCTGCATATATCAGTTTCTGCTCCAATTTGTCGTGCACTTAAATGGGGATTTTCCTGCAACTTTAATAGAACCTCCAACTGATTCGCCTCATTGGTGACACTTGGATTATTTATAATTTGTTTACTATACTCCACTGCTCCACTTGATTCAAAACGTTCTCTTAGTGTGGAAAATGTTTCCGGCCTTGGATGTCGCATATTAGGGTAGGTACCGTAGCTTATAAATGCGAGATGCTAGAAAACGAACACCATACTACCCATTTCTTCTTTAGAAAAATTCATTTTCAAACACGTTTTTATTATAATGCTCACAAAACTAATTTTGACAGTTTGTAACTAATCAACAATTTATTTGTTTCCATGATGATGCGATACTTTAGGGAATTAGGCCGTTCCATCAAAGACGTGCTAATAACCGAAAAAACAGCCGTAAAAACCCTTATGTGTCTAGTATAAAAAAGCTTATTTAAAAATGAATCCAATCTTGCACAAATATCCAGGGTGATACATTTGAAATTTTTTATAAAACTAAAATTTGCGTTTTTGACCACCCTGTATGAGCAAAAATTAAAATTCGAAAAAGTAGTAAATAAGATAAAAGCTGAGGTGTAATAAGTTTTTTTGATACAAAATTCAGCACTCCAAATTTCAAAATGCCGGACTGAGGGGTTGCCGAATTGGGGTTTTTTCTAGACAAAACAACTTATATCACAGTAACTAATTACCAAAACCCCATAGTATGTTATATCAATTTACTTCTTTTGGATTGGTTTATCCAAATATTCAATAAGATGCAAGATGAAGGCATTCTATTTGAAAAATCACAACTTTGATATGTAGTTCGAAATTAGGACCCTGTATAATGGCCAATATTATAGAAACGTGCCCTCAAATGTCATGTATAACATCCCATAAATAGATTTTCCCAAAATGTATTGCTGTATGAGTAATATTCCGTCCACACATGGATGGGCCACCCTGTATATATGTAGCTATTGCACAAATGACCATCTAATCAATAAATAAACATAACGAAATTGGACAAACTCATTCTCTTAACGTCAGTATATATTTATTGTATAATCCATAAGCGTTCATAATCATTTTCACCATCGTAGCTAGAAGTATTGGCTCAGGCGCCTTAATACTTTTTGTTTCCAATACATACACTACTTATGGTTTTTCTGAAAACGACTACATCAGATCTCTACAGTCCAGTTACTTCGACGGTGGTGCAATTTTATATTGATGGAAAACATCTGAAGGGAAAAATGTTTAGAGGGAGAGTTTCTCTCGACTTAACAACGTTTTGTGTAACTAATTTCTATATCCGTTGGAGTCTTTCCAGGAAATGTGCTGATTTTAAAGATGCAAAGCCTAGATGGCAGTCGTCGTCCAGAAGTAAGGATTAATTTGTATACTCTTTTTCAACAGAATCAGGACATCAAGCAAAGGGTTATTGTGCACATACGTAAGTGCTAAGTTTTATAGGCTTACTTGATCGAATTGACTTGATACTCTCCATCAAATAGGTTACAAACACGAATGCCCTTAATTCCTCTAAATAATACTTATCTGCAGAAATTCCTGACAACTGAATAGCGGATAAACTAGAAATTATCTATATCGCAGAAAATTGCTCTTTGCAACAATCGGTAGAGAGTCGGAGTATTCTCGTGGCTCGCGAACAGTATCAAAGCGTGCTTGCCCATTGCAGGAAATCGTGTTTGTTTTATATCTAGAATCTAGGTGAACGCGTGCCGTCGACGAATTATATTCCTTTGGCTATACGGTCATTGCAAAGGCATTTGGTAGGAAAAATCTTAATTTACGACTTTTGAGGCATGTCACTTACCAAAATGTATGATCCTTTGGAAAGGAAATGGTACAGAAAGTTGTTCTTTCAAATTTTGAGCATATTTTCTTATGATGTAAGATCTCCGGTAATTATTTTTTATAAGCTTTACATGTTAGTTAGTATGTTAGTTATGTGTAGGACAAATCTTGGAAGTGAATTTTGAACCAGTAGACATTAACTAGTTGAGCTGGTTTGCATGACAATACAAAATAAATTAACTGCCGCAATTTTGAATCCAACATGGAAGATGCTACAAAATCGCGATTCATCATTTCCACAGTAGTCCCCATGATATGGGTACCAAATGAAAGAGCATTAAGAGACAAACGCAATAAGCAAAGTGATGTTATACCAAGTGCAATATGGTCACTCCTCCAAGATGGCGTTTATAATTCCCATAGTCACCTCCATGATGTAGGCATGTGATTCATGGGGCATTAACAGGGAAACATAACAGGTAATGTGAAGTCATTCCAAATCCAATAGGACGGCTACCGAAAAATGTTGATTTATAATTGCCATAGTCACCATATACTATCGCTATCAAATGAAAGGGTTAAATGATGGATACATAATAAGCAAAGTGACGTCATTCTAAGTCCCATGTGTCAGCCGTCGCTAATTGGCGAGTTTTCATTTTCATGGTTACCGCTACGATATGGTTATCAAATGTAAGTGGTAGAAAGAAATAAAATAACGTCATATGCCAATCGTCGCAGAATATTGGCTTATCGTGATATTATTGATCTATTATATCTGTCGAAATTTTATACTACAAATAAAGTAAGAAGTTTTGCACAGTCCTGTTAATAAAATATATGAAAATTATATATAAATTACCAAACTAGTTACTTTTAAAAACATTAATAAAATAAACTAAAAATTCAAAAGTATATTTTACGATAGGAAATATTTAAGCGATAATGAAACTCCTCCATCGTTAGTTTTCAAATAAAAGCATTTTATGTTATGACAGTAGAATGGAAAATGTTGTAACACGCTTTTAGTTGAAAACTTGAAGTGAATTAAGTTAATAATAAATATTTTCAATCGGCAAAAGTTATTTTTAAATGCTTAGTTCATTTTATCAAGACCTAAATAAAGATAAAATATTCTTGTCCGAACGGATGCAAGCTTGGCAGATTACTCTTTGTGTAAGATGATGTACGGCCTGGACCCATGGGTAAAGCACGGCCCACGGGCCAAGTGCGGCTTTTTGTGCTAGCCAATCCGGCCCACGAGTACCATGCAGAGTTGCTCAACTCAGTTCGAAAGGGTTGAAGTGCTTCCATTTACGTTTCTTCCCGAGTAGCTAGGTGTAGTTGTTCTGTTTTTGATAGATTTGTGCAAAAAGTTTTGGTAGACGGAAAACTAAAAATCAAAAACTTGCCGGTGATTGAGAATGGAAGAGGGAGATCCACTCCTATTGAGAATTGAAGATCGGGGCTGGGGAGTGTCAAATGCTGCTATTTGAAAAATTGAAGACCATAGAGGGCACCAAATTTAACTAATTGAAAATTCAAGAGCGGGACGGGATTCAAACCTTCACAGTGCACGGCGACTGATCACGAGATGACGCGTCTACCAATGCGGCCACCGCTGCTGCCTAAGAGTTGATTCAGAACTCCGTGTTTTTGAAGATGCGTTGACTTGGAAATACTTTTTCCCGCCTATTAGGGACATGAAGTAAAAGTCAAAAATTAAGTTTATCACTTAAAAGTTTGTTTTGTTCAATTTTTCTTCTGCCCTCTTTTGAGCTCCAGCATTCAATACTTCCCTGTCAATCCACATAAGTGATTCATTCTATTAAGAATATTTTGATTTCTGAAAGCTGCTATATAGCATAGGTTTTCTGTTTTTAACATCACTACCAGAAATGTATTGCAATCCATCAGCTGTTCCAAAAATGTTTAACCCCCCTCGTATGTAAATAATAACTAATGGGACGCTCAGTGACCATGGCGCATTCCTTCAGGCTGCTCAGTACCTTTGACCTACAGATGGCAACTTTATAGAATCAGAATGGCTGCAAACGCTGCGAGCCAGAAAATTATGTTATTACTGGTCACAATCCGAAGACATTGGAAAAATCATAATTTCCAGGCCTGAAGCAGAACTGGAATAGATCTATTAACGTCGTTATTTCAGATGGTACTAATGCACGACTTGTGTAGCAATGCTAATAACGATTCATTCGTAAAGTATATCGAGTAGAATCACCGGAGTTTTATGAAATATTATCTTAATTTTATTATTGTTTAAGTAAATAATAGATCATTATCAACTTTTAAATTAAATTACATCGTTCTGTTCACTTTTCAAGGAATTATATCCGAAACATGATCTCTGACAATGTTCTTCAAGACACGGAAGGTGATTGATATTACATAAATATAGACGCCAATCAATCTCCTTCAACATACCCACCAAAAGAAGCCACAGATGCTGACTAAATTAGTAGCATCAGAAGCAGAAAAATAATTTATCCATGACTTATGGTTTTATCATTTAATGCTCAGCTCAGGAGAATCAGAAAAAGAATCACAAACATAGCAAGCAAAAATCAGAAATGTAAATAATAATACTAAACTCAAAATGCTTATTAACATTCTTACAGAAAGTTATCTGCGAATACGAGTACTGTACCATGCCTTAGTTGAAACACATATAATATATTATGACATCACAGCCTGGGGTGCCAACTGCAAGACATATATTTCTGACCTAAATATAGCACAAAAGACTGTTTTAAATGCCATTTTCCAGAAGCCAAGATTATATCCGACGAACAAAATTTATTTCAGGAAACAAGGGTACCTGATACTAGGCAACTTTAGTTCTTACATGCCACCACGTTATACGAGTACCATAAGCATTGTAATGAACAAAATTCGCATAAACACGACCTCATAGGCGCATCCGATATCCAAAGACCACACAAAAGATTATTCAACAAACCTTTTAAATTCTTCGCAGCTCAGTTATATAATGTAATACCAAACGAAATAAAAACATTCAAATTTAGAAGTATAAATTAGAGGAAAAGTCTGGTCTTGTACTGAGCAGCCAATTACTATACATAATTAAACAGAAAACTAAAACTACAAAATTCAAGTTATATAAATACTTTTTAGGATTAACTATAATTTATTGTTATACGCGTAGGTATATGATTGATTGTTAGAAAAATATAATCCTTATTCAGGCGATGCCTTCTGTGTTTTTTTTTAATTATTTGTTCATATTTAAACATTTTGGACAGTATGACAGAAAATGCAAATAAATACAGTTACTCGAAAATAAACCAGAACAGTGATGGTGGAAAAAGGTTTTTTATCCATTTGGATTCCTCACAGTCTAAATCCAAATCTCCAAATCAAAATCGCTTCATGCCTGCCAGCTCGTCCTCAAGTTGCATGGAGTAGATCATCCATCGTCCTTTCGATAGTCATAGAATTTTGGCCTCGTAGGATGGAGGTCAATGGAAAAAATTCTGTTTCTGAACTATTCACGTTACTACAACGTTTTGCTACTCGCCACAGCGGTTTCTTTTGATACAGGGAAGACTAAAAGAATTTTTAATCTTTAAATAAAAGGATTTTTAAACTTCTCCTGAAGATTCTAACATAGCTAAATAATTTCGGATATCAAGAATCGGTTTGCCGAGTGGCAAAGCTGTGTAGTAGTCATAGTCGCTACGCCAAAGGATCCGACATCTCAGTGACAAAGAAAATAGTACACTCAGTAAATAGGTACGATTTTATTTGAATAAAATTTTGTACACAATTAGAGATGAGCAAGAGAAAGTACTGGTTAAATTATAGGTAGAAATCATTTGTTGTGTCGCTAAATTTCCCTAATAATGTGCTAATCCACTCCAGTGCCGTATGTATCCGTCGGGATAAGGTGATTCTTATCTTCTCATCCTAATCTCGCTGTACTTGGTGCCGAAGTGCTGTTAACGTTTTTGTTGAATGCGGTAAAGAGATCACTTTTTTCTTATCTTATCCCTCACATGTTCTAGGATGCAAAGCAAGGAGGCTGATCTCAGCGTTATTAACAATGAGTTGGGCATTATCTTTGGAATTCTCAAGCGTTTGGAGGAATGGTAACAGATAAGGTTCTAGTATTTCGTGAATATACCATTGTAAGCTCATGCCTCCTTTAATGGAAGTTAGAAGTGACTAAGCAACATACTCAATGGTGCCCTAAACCTTAACTGCTACAGTATGGTGCATGTGATGTTAAATTGAAGAGTTTACATTACGTCTTACTCCGATACACCTTCTGACGCATACCCACCCATGATGCATGTACCTTGACAGAGCCAATATCATCGTCAAAACGATGTCATATCATTCATCAACCTAATTTTCTCGATATCAGTTCTGTTCTAGGGATGCTTGATAAACAGCCACAGGCTAGGAGCTTTCTCGGAGAAAGACATGATGTAAATCTTTCAGATGAACACCTCTTCTACCATTATGTAGGAGTTGTGGTATGAGGTGGCAATATATGGTGCTAAGTCATTTTTAGTTTTCATAAGAGGAGGTATGACTGCGTAATGGTATATCCAGGAAAAAATGAAGTTAGCCTTTACCATTTCTCCAAGC